ATTACATGTCATATAATAACATTCATGATAATTATTGTTATTATACTTGTTTTCAAAATGTATACCTTGAATTACTTAAAATGGATGCATATTTATTTATTAATTAGCCTATCAATCAAAATAACATTAATCACCTCCTTCGTACTATTTTAAAATCGTAAGTGAATTTTACAAGACTCATGAAATATGGTGTTGCATTCAATTACAAATAAAATATTTTAAAAAATCACTGGTAGCCTAAAAAGATTATTTGTACTAGTATACAATTCTTTTTTTTTACAATTACAATTCAATTTGTAATCTTTGCATATAGGTATGTATTTTAATTTCAAAGTTAACTGTAAAAATAATTAATGCGTGAATTGGGAAAATTATTTTATTAAATTAATTTATTTTGTGTCATCATTCTTTGAATTTATGTATTTATATATCTAATGATGTTAAATAATAAGCCTTATAATAAAATATTTTATCTATACTAATTACTTATGACACAAAAAGGAAAAATTTCTCATAAATCTTCAAGGTCATAATATCCAAAATAATAAAAAAATGTTTTAAAAGACTAGTATAAACCTTAAATTTATTTATTTTTTAATTAAGATTTAATTATATACCTTTCATAGATTTTGTCTTAGAATAATGTAATTCTTTAGTTAGAACACATTTATTTAAAAAATTAATTATTGTTTACTAAATAGGAAGTACCCAAATAGCTTACTATAAATTTAATTTTTTTTTAGCTTTTAAATCGAACATACTTTTATAATGTAAAATAATAATAGTTTTTTAGTTAAATACATCAAATATTTCAATCTTTTTAAATTCTTTGTAGTTTCATATCTAAATTTTAATTAAAGCATTTTCATTTCTATTTTTGTTTAAATACAAATTTAAAATATGATCCCATAAATTTTAATAATAATAAAAAACAATTATATTTCTGTAGGGTTACCTAGGATTGAAATTTTATTAGTAAATATAATTTCGGATAAAAATTATTTTTAAATTTAAAAATAATTATTTTGAATTAAACTTTTTAAAAATTTAATTATTTTTGAGAGTATTTGTTTATTAAATACATTCAAATTATAAGCGTCATTGAATCAGTTTTCATTTTAGACTTTGGTAACCTTACAAATATTCTTATTTATAGGTTTTGGGAATCCAACTAAGTCGGGTACATTAAATAATTGTAATATGTATAGGTTTGTTAGACATGAAGTAAACTTTATAGAAATTGAATATGCCAGCTATTTAAGTTTATGTCTATAAAAATAATATACGCGAATTATTTATATATAAATGTGTAATGCCCAACCAATTATCAACATTTACCTATATAATTTTCATTGGTGTATTATACACTTATAAAAATAATGATAGTGTCGTTAACTAACTACTTAATCTCAGAACTGTTTACTATTTGTTGTTGATAAAATATAAGAAAACAACTATTTAAGAATTTCTTTTATTTGTAAAATCGATTGAATGACTAAAGTTGAACGAATGAGTTTTAGTAAGAAAAGTAATTACTATATAAGTTGTCCGCTCGACCTTATCTTAAGTAGTTTTTTCTTCAAGTTTCATGTTTATTTTATTATGTTATAAAATTTGTGCAATGCAATTTACAACACTATTAGCTACATTTACTGTACTTATTGTGTACAACTTTTGCTATATGTTTTTGTATTTATCTTATGATTTAACCCGTTTTCTGATCATTGACAGACTAATACAGTCATAATACCAGGTAAATCATCGCCTATAAAAAATTTGGTGTCTTGTTGATGAAGTCATAAATTGAGTTATAAAAAATGAAGGAAAAATTACATTTTTAGAGCATTTTATTTCTGCAATTCCCAGAACATTTATTTATAAGTAAAATAATTTTATAAATTCGTATAAAACATCAAACACAATTTTGAAAAAAAGAACAAAGAAATAATTAAATGATTTTGTTTTGATTTTGCAGTAGAAAGTTTCTGATCAAATAGAATATAAATTTATGTATAAATAATTCAATATACGTGCAATATATTGCTATAATAAAAACTAATCATTTGTGGATAATATTGTTTAAAATTAAAAGTATATTAAAAATATTAATTTAGAACTAAAAAACCCAGCACAAGGGGGTCGCAGCACAGTGATGACGTGGCATAGTTGGATCAAGTATAATGATATCTGACAATGATTAAAATCACTATCAAAAAAAAACGCTTCGATGCAAATCTTTAGATAGTGTTAAATTTTAAAAAATTGGTGTATTATTCCAAAAGCTACATGATCTGCTAGTTCCTAATTAATATCCTGATTAAGATAAAGTATGTCGAATGAAAAAGGGGTTATTAAAAAATATTATTTCTCATAAAAAAATTATGTTGATCCATACACTTTTCAATAAATTATAGCATTATAAAGTTAAAAATGTAAAAAATAAAATCGAGAATTTTCACACAAAAATAGCATTCGGTAGCCATTTTCACCACGAAGACAAATCCAGAGGTCAAATTTTTTTTACCATAATAAAGTATATTACACTAGCTTTAATTTAAGATATATATAAAAGTGTTAGACTTTCCGGAACACTTTCAAAAGTTAAGTTCTACTTTCTACATGCATTTTTTAGATTTGAACCCCCCTCGTATATAGGGAAATGGTCCGATTTAAAAAACAGTATGTCGAATGAAAAATGTATATAAATACTACTTCTCATGAAAAAATTGTATTGATCCATACATTTTTCAAAAAGTTATAGCTTAATAAAGTTAAAAATGTAAAATACAAAATCGAAAATTTTCACACAAAAATAGCATTTGGTAGCCATTTTCACTGTGAAGACAAACACGCTAAACACTTACGTAATTATGTGTTAGATTTTTTTTTGGCTTTTTGAGCTAAATATTTTTAATATAATTTTAATATTAATAACATGTATAATAAATAATAAGAAAATGTTATACAAATTTAAGTTTAAGTACAAGGTTATAATTTTTATTATCAAAAACTATGTTAATCTTCTTCAAGAAAATTATATTTTTATATGAAGTAAAATGTTTTAGTAGAATAATAAAATATTTTTGTACTAGTAATAATTCTATGACTTAGAATTTTCTATTTTGTTATTCTATTTTATGAGATATAATAAATATGTTGTATAAATAAGAAAGACCGTTTAATTTTTTATTTGAATTCTAAATTTGAAATTTGAAACAAACGAAATGAAATTGAATTTCACTGAACAATGAAAACTTAAATTTATTTCAACTGTCAGTTTTATTATTTATAAATTATTAGAACCACCAATATTACTATAAAAGTTTTTTTTTTTTTGATAAAACTGTTATATTATTTGTTTTAATATTTATGATTTCAATCCTAAATATTATTTGATTTGTTGAGCAAAATATTATACTATAAAGGCTATATAAAAAAATGAAAATATTATATTACTTGTATTTAACAAAATATTATAATAATAAAATTTTTAAACATTGTTCAGCGTAAAAATTATGTTTTTGAATATTAAATTTTATTTTCATATTTTATTATGCTAATTATTCATATGCTGTGATTATTATATTGGAAGTCGTGTTGATAGTTTATCAATACTTTACTTTTTATGAAGCGGGTTATGTTATGTGGGTATATTGATGAATATTTAAAGCAAAAAAAAAATTGTTCGCTTTTGTAGGAACTTAGTCTAATTGAGGTTCAATTTTCAGCGAGGTTTTAGTAATTTACTTATTGCTATAATATATTACAGTAATTTTATATTATACAGATTTTATGACTTAAAACAAAGAAATTGTACCTGCGCTACCTTATCTGAGACAAATGGAATCATAAGTTAAAAAAATTTTGAAATCAATTAATATGTGTACTATAAATTAATATATTATAGATTTTAGTTTCATTTTGGATGCTTATATTATTAACCTTAGGCATTTTCGATATGAGTTCACAAGAAAACAATGTTTTCTGTATGCCGTATGTGAATATTATAAAAATAAGTGTAGATTACATAGACAATATTGATGTACAAGATGTTTTTCTTCAAGTGTAATTTCGGTTTAATTAAATGATTCTGTAATATTAGGCGGAATCAAGATAAACTACCTGTTCTATGAAATGCAAACGACTATCAAAACCACATCGCTGAATTCAAGTCTATCAACATTTGAAGATATTTAATTATTCCAACAACAATAATAATACTACACTATCTCGTTGGTTATGGGTCAAGTAATGACGTACGTGGGTCGAGGAGCCCGATTGTATGTCGAATGGCGTGGGTGAGAATGCGTGCGCATACAGAGATCCCTTGGGTTTCATTCATTCAACGACTATAACGCTATGTACAGGGTGATTGTTGAACTATGACTCACGCAATGGCTAGAAAAATGTAAAAAATATTTAATATTATTTTTGCTTTTTAAAAGTTAATATACTTTAACTTATGAAATTATAAAATAATAAAATTATAGAACGTTGTACGTATTTTCCCTGTTCCACCCTTAAAACTTTTATCAACTTTAGTTTTTTTTAATAAAAACATATATGTTTAACCAACTTACAATTGATCTATCTAAGAAAGTGACTAGACGATAACAACTTTCGGACCAGTATTTTGAAAGTTATTAAATCTTTAAAATAAACAATAGAGGTCTGTTTTTTTTATCTCTAGGGTTTAATGAATCGCGCTAATTTCCCCTTTCTTGTTATTAATATGTTAGTATTTCTTAAAATACTGGTCTATAAGTTGTAATCATTTTCTTAAATCAATTTCAAGTTTGTAAGTTGCTTAAACATATATTTTACTTTAAAATACATTAATTAAATAAAGTTAATAAATTTTAAGGGGAAAAGAGGGAGTAGAGCCTAAATGTTTTCTGGAAATTATAGAACGTAGGATACTATTAACTTCTAAAAAAAAATTATGTCATATTTTTAATAATGCTGCATGAGTCATAGTTAAACAACCACTCTGTACATTATGGATTCCATCCAACCCTTGTAGCGGACAAGCAGTTCGTTTACGCAAACCTATACTTGCGTCACGTCACGTTCGCATCATTGTTTGTTTCATTCATAAATCTCAAACGATAGTATTAAAATAATTGTTGAAACAAAGTTAATACAACTTACAAAATTCATATTAGCATATCTGATGAACAGGTAATAAAAGTTTGTTCAAAATATATTATAAAAATAATATGTTCGATCATAAGTTAAGACATTATTTAGATTTCAAAAATGACAATTATTTTTTAGGTTAATTGATTCAGCTGGGTTTGAAAATTTATGATATTAGAGGTACACAATACCACGTCATCGTTACTTATACTTGTTACATTTTAAGTAATAATAATAAATTTCAAATCGATATTTCTTTGAACTGTTCAATAGAATTTAGTAGGTCAATGTTTAATTAAGTTAATAATATTCAAAATCAATTAAAATTGATTTAAGAGATACATTAAAAAAACCACTGGAGTACGAAAGGGAGGGTGGGGTTGGAGGGTTGACCTTCCCCCCCCAAAAAAAAATTTATAAGCTAAGCGACAATTTTGGACGATAAACAATAAGTAATAATAATAAAAAAGATCATATCATACTATAAATATTTCCACAATAAAGTAAACGAAATCAGGAATTTTTGTAAGCGAACAATATGGACATTGTCATATTTAATTTTCTTTAAATTTCAAAAAAAAAAAACCCCAAATTTAATTTTTGTGTACGCCACTGAAAAAAACTATACTAGTGGTTTCATAGTTCCTTTAATTGGTAACGGATAAAAAAAAAATTTAATTTTAAAATTTATTGGTAGAGAAAATTTACATTTTGTATTGATATATTGGCCTCGCTAATTAAAAAGCTTATATTGATTAGAAAAAATCTAAAATACACCTGTACATAAAGTTACTTTAAATAAAATTAATTGTATGAACAACTCAAAAATGTTGGTTAAAATTAAAAATAGTTAGAAAACGTTATTGTATAAACAAACGGTAACATCTTTCTAACTATTTCAGTTATTTGTTTAATATTTATTTACACGACGCTCTTTAAAAAATAATCCTTATAGAAAAACAATTTTTTTAACGTACTATATGAGAAGATATAAATTTATTTAGTGGTTACCAAAACCAATTACCGCAGGTTTCTCACACAGGTGTTGTGTCCCATCTAGGATGAGACACAGTAATGTGTTGTAGGTTGTAAAATTAATATCTGCAAAATTTAAAATAAATTTCAAATAAAACATCTGAATTATTCGAGATTAAACATAAAATTTAGCTGAAAATAACCTACTGAATTATTTCAATTGTGAAACGTTTCGTTGTAAAAAATACTGGTTAAATACAGTTAATTAAACAGTATTAATAACTTGTAAAAATAGTGTACGATATCAAATAATTTATACAATACAAAAAGATACTTTTTATGATTTACTTGAATTTGAATATATTATCAATGAATCTCAAATAAAATAGAAGCGTACATTTAGTTTAAATCTTCATTTGGTAAATAATTATAATTTCCGACGTAAAAGCTATTACATTATATTTGAAGATAATTTAATTTTGCTCGTCACCTTAAAAAGTATAATTTCAGTGGAAAAAATAAGAGTGCCCTTGTCATTCCTATATTTGGCTTGTGCAATAAGACTTGGTTTAAAAGCATATTAAAATTCTACTTTTATACAGAGTGTTCATTAAGTAAGAAAATAGGTCAATTGTTACATACGATGAAAACAACAGAAACCCGTTTCCTTACTGACCACCTACATAATGTTGTATATCACTTTGTTAATTAAGGATTTTTAATAATTAAGAATTAGTTTTCACATATTTTAGCCAGTTAATGGGTTTATTGATTATTATAGAATTTGTGTACAGTGATGTTAGAATCGGGGTTCAGTGGCAGTTGCTTCCCCATTCAAAAACGGTACGGCAAAAGTTATTTTGCAAACTCCCAAATTGAATCCGACAAAAACATTATCGATTACAGATTTTGTGTTTATTACATAGTATTATGTTTATTGTTATTATATTATATAGGTGATTTTTTTATTATAACCCATTCAATTATTTACAAATTCAAAATAAATAAATTTTTTTTTTTTTTGTTACTTTTAGTTACATATTATATTTGAATTATTAGCAATGTAATACTTTTTAAATTCATCCATTATGCCTTGTAAGGGTGTCAATTTTGTTTTTTTAATGGAAACATATATTTTGAATTTAATAATTTTTTTGAGTTTATAATTTAATAGAAAATGGAATTTGAATTTTTAATATAACTTTATTCGTTTAATCGATATAAACATCTAAAGTTTCAAATTCTTGAGTTAATGTACATTTATAATAGCAAAGGGATTACAAATACAGGTAGCTAATTGATTTTTATGATATTCGCAGATACACAGCATTTATTATCGATGGTAGTAAGACACATTGTTGTGAGTTTATATCTAATATACGAATAAAGTTAAACTAAGAATTCATATGCTATTTTCTAATAAATTAGTAACTCAAACATTTTATTTTTTTTTCACAATTTTATTAAATTCAAAATATGTGTTCCAATTAAATTAATCAAAATTGACACCATTAAAATGCATAAGGAATGAACTTAAAAAGTTTTACACAGCTAATAATTCAAGAATAATATATTATTAAAGTTATCTAAAAAACAATGTTGAAATTATTTTTATTCTGTGAGTAATTGTGTGGATTATGATAAAAAAATCATCCTGTATAATTCCAAAGTTAATGATATGGCCATTTGTTTAAATAATTGTAAAAAATGAAAGAAATTATAATTAATTCTAAAAACTATATTTTAGTAAGTATCAGTTATTATTATTAATAATACAATAAAAAATAATATATATTATCAGTAGAGAAAAAAAGATTCATATTATCTCAGTCCAATTGTATTACAAAAATATTTAACATTCGTATGTTTTATTTATGGTATAACTTGATACACAAATGTACGATTAACTATTTATTAATTAATTTTTCAATATATTTAATTTATTTTGATGTATTCCAAATATTTTTTTAAGACATTCAAAATATTTAGTAAATTAAATTTTGCTAATAAATCAAAATTATTCGAAAAAAAAAATAGTTATCATGTCCTATTTACTGTTCTAAATACTTACAATTATTTATAAATCTAGGGAATCAATATTTATTTTTGTATAGCTATTCTAGTATGAGGTATAAAAATGTGCAATTATTATTATAGCTTTTAGTTGTTTGATCAGTAGTAAAATATATAATAATTGTAGTTTAGAAATAAAAATGTCTTTAAAACTTTATTTTTTTTTTATGTTTCTCTATAGTTATTTTCCCTTATTAGAAGCAAATTTTAATGCCAAAAAATTAAATAACCTGATTCAAAATACCGGTTGGAGAATGATTTCTGAATTGTTGTCAAAACAAAATCCTAAAAAGATTGGTTTTAAAAGAAACATAATTTTTGTAGAAAAGACTTTAAAGGACTGGACTCCAAATAAAATAATTATTAATAAAAATAATTTTGATAAAATATTAAAACAGACTACACAGATTTTATGCAGTTATTATGTACTGGAGATAGACACTATTTATAAGTTATTAAATAATTACTGGACAAACTACAGGACGTATGCAAATCCATTGATTATTCAATGGTTCATAGACTTGGCTAAGGAATTATACGAAGAATTAGATCGAATGGCTAATGTATTATTTTTCTTATTAAAATACTATAGTAATAGTACCATTATAGCTACTCTTCATTTTCAACAATTGTCATATAATATTTTAGAAAATAATGATGAAGGAATAAGCCAATATTTTGATATTTTAGAGAGATGTTTTGAGGAAAATTTCCGAAAACCTGAATATAATGAGTTTTATATTATTTCTGATATTGATGAAGTACTAAATATTATGTTGCAAGATACATATTTTGGCTCAGAAAATAAAATAACATATATTAAAGATCAAGTTATGTTAAGATATTATCATTTAATAGAAGTTAATAAAAAGTTGGGCTTTAATTTTGATGAAAAAAATAAAATAGTTGGACTATATAGATGATTAGCCAGCAACAAGATCATTGTAATTTTATAAAATTTGTTAGTAAAATTTATAGTATTATAAAAGCTTTTAAAAATGGAAAACGTTTGCAAATAGACTAACAGTTCAACTTTTCTTGTTTATTTATGTTTACAGTCCTTATAAGTAAAATGCTGTTAAAATATTTTATTAATTTTTAATTTTAGAACTTATTTAATTAAATAATAATATTAATGTAATTTAGTTTAATTTATGTATCAAATTCAAATTAATTCAATAAAAATGATCTTAATGTTTTATTTTTTTAGTTTTTAAATTATCAAAACTCTTGAAATATAAAAAGTTAATTTGGCATATAATATTAAACGATTTTCTGAAGGTTAAAAATTAAAATTATTTGAAATAAATAAATACATATTATTGTCTAACATACAACGTTTAATGTATAAGTATCAGCAATGGTTTAACTTCTTAGCTTTCTCTTACATCACCGACCAATGAAAAATGATTTTAAGAGATATTAGACAAAAAATTAATTTTAAAATAAATTAAACTTTATTTAAACTAGTTAAGTTAAAAAAAATTTAACTTAAATTAAATTTATAAATTGTTAACTTTTAACTGTTAATTTATCAACATTCATTATACTTAACTTAACTTAAATTGAGTTAATTATTTCCAATAAATTGCCCATCTTTGAGTATCTGTAAGTATCTGAAGGTTTAGAATCCCTAAATTAGAAATTGATATACTGAAAATCAGGAAAACAAAGTTTTTAAAAGTAAGTATAGTCTGTACAAATTGTATATATCTTATTTAAATAAAACAAAAGAAATGTATTATTAATAACAATTATTATAATAAAAACTATTATAAAGTAATTTAGTTATTTGGATTACTAAATTTGAATTAATTTTATTTTTCATATATTTCTATCATTATTTTATAAATGTCCATAACTTCTTATTTAATTTTAAAATTTTAACAATAATTTTTATTACTTCTCTGTAATTTCTATATTCTTTTAAACATTTTCTATATATTTAAATGAATTAATACAAAAAAGAGCTTATTTGTATAAAAGCAAGCATTATTAAAACCCAGCACAGGGGGGTCGCGGCACAGTGGTGACGTGGCATAGTTGGATCAAGTATAATGATATCTGACAGAGATTAAAATCACTATCATAAAAAATGCTTCGGTGCAAAACTGTAGATAGTATTTAATTTTCAAAATTGGTGGATTATTCCAAAAGCTACATGATCTGCTGGTTCCTTATTAGCTTCAATGCTAAGCCGAGAAGGTATTAATTTTACTATGATGTGTTTTTTTTTATCTGTTACCTTCAAAAATAGAAAACAATTTCCCTAGTTCCCCGTAAATGGGGGAATCCTCCAAAAAAATTACAAATTTAAAAATACCTAATTTTCGAAATTTTTTCAATTTTTGTTACTTAAAACTGCTTTAAACAATACATTTTTTTTATATAGATGCATGATATCATTACCTTTTATTTGGTATATTTTTTTTATAAATCTGACCCTAGACCTGCCCACAGGGGGGGNTATTTTTTTTATAAATTTAACCCTTTAGCTGCCCATAGAAAGGGATTTAAAATGAATTATTTTTCACAAAAAATTTAGTTTTTCAACTTAACTTTTGAAAGTGTTCCTGAATCTCTGACACTTTTATATATATCTTAAATTAAAGCTAATGTAGTATACTTTAATATTAAAAAAAAAAAATTATGAACATTATTTTGTCTTCACGGTGAAAATGGCTATCAAATTCTATTTTTGTGTGAAAATTCTCGATTTTATTTTTTACATTTTTAACTTTATAATGCTATAATTTATTGAAAAGTGTATGGATCAACATAATTTTTTTATGAGAAATAATATTTTTTAATAACCCCTTTTTCATTCGACATACTTTATCTTAATCAGGATATTAATAAGGAACTAGCAGTTCATGAAGCTTTTGGAATAATCCACCAATTTTTTAAAATTAAACACTATCTAAAGATTTGCATCGAAGCGTTTTTTTTTTATAGTGATTTTAATCATTGTCAGATATCATTATACTTGATCCAACTATGCCACGTCATCACTGTGCCGCGAACCCCTGTACTGGGTTTTTTATATTCTGATTATAAGTTTTATGATTTATAAGTGTAATATATGATTAAATATATGTAAATTTATTTATAATATATAAATATATAAAGGGAAATGGTTTTATTTTTAATAAATGTACGTCGAATAAAAGAGGGATATAAATAATATTTCTCATAAAAAAATTGCGTTGATTAATAGACTTTTTAACAAGTTATAGCATAATAAAGTAAAAAATGTAAAAAATAAAATCGAGAATTTTCACTTAAAAATAGCATTTGGTAGCCATTTTCAACTTGAAGATTTAATAAAGTCCGAAATTTTTTTTTTCCATGATAAAGTTAATGTAGTATAGCTTTGTTATATGTAGAATCCCCCTTGTGGGCAGGTAATGACTTAAATTTATAAAAAATATATATTAAATGATAGGTAAAGATATCATGCATCTATAAAAAATATATATATTGATTTGGTTATTTTTAAAAAATTTATGACAGTTTTAAGGAAAAAATTTTTTAAAAATGTCGAAAATTAGTAATTTTTCAATTTGTAATTTTTTTTGGAGATTTCTCCATTTACGGGGAATGAAGTAAATTTTTTCAATTTTTGAAAGTAATGTCTTCGACTAGATACAATTTGTGATATTTTGACGTATCGTTAAAAGAAATCAGTTCGACGAGAGCTGAGAAAAAATGGTAACAGACAATAAAAAAGAAAAATATATCCTAGTAAAATTAATACCTTCTCAACTTGGCATCGAAGCTAAAAATTCATGTGCAAATATGACATTTTTATTACTATTTATCATCAATTTTTGTTGTATGTGTTTAAAAATTTCCTATACATGTGCAATTAATATAAAAAACTGGTTTTTTCATGTTAAATTTAAAATTATTATATAATTAATTAATGTTCAAAATATATAATTACATATTTGATTAAAATGATTATAAAATGTTTCTTTTTAAACTTAAACATTGTAACTTTAAATTAATTAATATAAGACTTTTGGGCATATTGTAGGTATGTTTATTTCTTAAAAATTGTTTTTTGTGAACAGTTTTATAAATATATAATTATCTTTTTAACCAAATACATTTCAAATCGAATAACTAATTAAACTTTAAGCATTCGCTATTTTCTTTTATTTCTTTAATTTAATTTTCATTAAATTTAGTATAAATCTTTTTACTGATGTTAAGAGGGTTCCATCTTGTAATAGAATCGTTTTAATTTAAAATGTTTTTCATTTATATGGTTGGTTTTTTCTTTTTGAAGTCTAGTTCTTAAACTAATTTTTAATACATTTTTTATATATTATAATATAATATTACTGTAAATATTACTATATATATATAACCAATGTATTTGATTATTTATTCAATAAATTTCGAACATATTAAAAACATCATTATAAGTTTTATAAATAATAACTAATGTCACTGATTTTGGACCGCATATAATGTTCGATCATTTCAATACTCAGTCATTATTAAACCATTTAATTTAGTATACTATTCACAAAGGGTGATTTTAGAAATCAAGGTGAATGAATTGAAATAATTAATGAATTTAAAGTAGAATGTATCAGAGAAATGTCATTTATCTCACAGCAAAAATTATGTAAGTAGGAAATTTAATTATAGAACTTCTTAATTGATTCTCGATTAGTTATAAATAAATTATGTTGCTAATTATTCGTTCAATGTTTAAACTCAACATTAATAAATGTTTGTGGGATTATTTTATTGATTTTAATGTGGTGATAGCATGTCATTGTATTTATTAAATATATTTCTCTTAACTTTTTTCTTTAATTTTTTTTTTTATAAACTACCAAATGGCTTTATTATTTAAACGATAAAATTATCTTTATAAATATATTTTACAATAATTGTATATGAAACATAGTTTTATAACAATTAATAAAGAATAAACATGTGTGGAGTGACACCTCCAGCGAGGTGGCTCCTTAANCGTTTGGAGTGACACCTCCAGCGAGTTGGCTCCTTAACCTAAGTTAAAACTAAATATTTTAAACTAAGTCATATGGTTTATGACGTTTAAGACGCCTGATGTCTTCGGAGTTGTCCAAAAGTTGGATGGCTGCTGTGTTAATGTGGTTCGTTAATCTCACCTCATGTTTGCGAGCAAATCTCTTAATTTCTTCTGCTACTGTAGGCAAAATCAAATCACGGTGTATAATGTCATTTCTATCGTACCGATAAGCTGAAACGATGGTACGGAGTGCAACATTTTGGCATCGTTGAATAACATCAATATTAGACTTACTAGTACAACCCCACAGTTGTATACCGTAAGTCCAAATTGGTTTTATGATAGCTACGTAAAGTAGACGTTTGTTATTTAATGAAAGTTCGGAATGTTTCCCGATCAACCAGTATAACTTTTTCATTTTTAGTTTTATTTGCAAACTTTTCTGGCGTACATGGTGTTTCCAATTAAGACGTGAGTCTAAGTGCATTCCTAGGTATTTAGCCGAATCTTTTTGTGGGATAATTTGATGATTCATTTTGATAGGAATATTATTGGTATTACGAAGTGTATAATTGACATGTACTGATTTGTCACTATTGATTTTAATTTTCCAACGTCTTGTCCATAAGAANGCATGTACTGACTTGTCACTATTGATTTTAATTTTCCAACGTCTTGTCCATAAGAAGCTATTATTGATCGAGTTTTGCAATTTACCAGTTGCAGACTGTTGACTATAACTGGTTGCTAATACAGCCGTATCATCAGCGAACGTGGCAGTTGTCGTATCATTGGTTGATGGAATGTCAGCAGTATAAAGTACAAAATACAAAATAGGTCCTAAAACACTACCTTGTGGTACTCCTGCTGTTATAGATTTCCAATCTGTAACAGCTTGCTCATGCATTACCCGAAACTCTCGTTCAGTCAAGTAAGATTCTAATAACGCGCACCAAGTGTGTGGTAGTTGTTCTCTTAATTTTATAAATAGTCCTTCATGCCAAACTTTATCAAACGCCTGCGCAACGNAATGCCGAACTTTATCAAAAGCCTGCGCAACGTCTAAGAAAACTGCACAACAGTACTTTTTCTCTTCAAGAGCCTGGTTAATAACATTGGTAACTCGGTGAACTTGATCAATTGTAGAGTGCTTATTGCGGAAACCAAATTGGTGGTCAGGTAAAAGTTGCTTTTCTTCAATCAAAGGTTTTATCCTTTTAAGAAGAACTTTTTCAAAAAGCTTAGATAAACAAGGTAAGAGTGATATTGGCCGGTAAGATGTTACCTGATCTGGTGGTTTACCTGGTTTTAGTAACATTATGACCTGAGCTTTTTTCCATAGTTTTGGAACGTATTCAGTTCGTAAAATTGCATTGAAGATGTATGTAAGATAAATAATCGCCTTCTTAGGCAATTCTTTTATCATTCTNATATGTAAGATAAATAATCGCTTTTTTAGGCAATTCTTTTATCATTCTCGGGCTGATTTCATCGTAACCTGGTGCTTTTTTTACATTGATGTTGTTATCAATTTCTTGCGCCACTTCTAATGGTGAAAAATATTTTATTTTCTCTCGGTTTCTATGTAATTGTAAACTATAGAGTCCGTCAAGTTCCGAGACTATATTATTAGGTTTAAATACAGTCTCTAAGTAACATGCATATACTTCAGCTTTTTCATATTCATTTCGTGCCCAC